CCTCGGCCTCCCAGAATGCTAGGATTACAGGTGTGAGCCACCATGCCCGGCCTAACCTGCCAACTCTTAAATTCCATAGGGATAGAGTTCTAAGCACAAGCCAACTGAATTCTGTAAGTAAAAGCCAAACCGGCAGGGTCACACTCAGGAACATGCTGCTCTCTCATGGAATTCATGCTAGGTCAGAGCGTAACTTCTCAGCCCTAGAATGCACCTTTCATCTTAGTTCTATTCAGTGTCCAAAGTTTCAGGTAACAGAGTGGTAGATACATAATTTTGAATATGGTAGAAGGAGAAAAATATTTATAATTATCATTAACTTTTTACAAATATACCTGTAATCCACTAAAAGATGGAACAAAATAAACTCCTTCAGAATCTTCCAAACTTTTGGCCATTTTCTCAGTCTCAGCAGCATCTGTGAAAAGATCTATAAAAACAAACAACGACACAAAAAACCCTAAAACAAAATGAAGAGGTTGGAGAGGGACAAACAGAATTATGTTATATGACTAGCATTTACCTGCATCCACATTTATTATGAATATAATGTAAAAGGTCACTCACTTCAAAGGGTCAACACAAAGGCCATTCTATTCTAGGCCATTTTGAGTTCTCATACTGCATAGGTTTATGAGCCCAGGGAAGGGACAAGGGAGGTAGAAGGCTCTCTTAGATAGGCTCTGTATGCAGCAGACTTTACTTTTTCCTTTAAAGACATTTGGACACTTTAAAAAATCAATTCCATGTATGATTTTTGGCAATTAAAAAAGATAAGTGCTATATTAGTTTTCTGATGAAAACTACCTCATGAATTCTACCTGTAACACTCAAGAGAATCAACTGAAAAGCTACTCCATCTAGTGAGTTCAACAGGGGCCCAGTAACAAATAAATACACTAAAAGTCAATTTTTAAAAAACAATCAAACAAAAAATTAAGACTTAACTCTTTCAGTAAACTTTTCACTGAAATATATAATATACATACAGAAAAATGCATAAATCCTAAAACTGTACCTAAATTTTCACAGTATAAACACATTGAGGTAACCCACACCTAGATCAAGATACAAACTTCTTCCAGTCAACATCATGCTTGTGACATTCATTCTTACCCCTACATAGTATACCATTATG